AGGAATGGGCAATTTCCAGGGCCTGTCCAGCCCTGGAAAAGTCTTGGAGCCTTCAGGAGCTGAGGATACAAACCTTGATACAGCTATCAGCCTGAGGCTTGCTAATGGTAACTCCATACTTCTGGATCTGCTTCCAGTGGTGACCAGGGTCATGAGCATTGCATAAATTACACAAGAATAGGTTTATGATTAAGAGCACACACTAGAAGCAGCATGAGAAGACCTTCCACCAAGGATGAAAATCTTTCCTCTATGTTTTCCAACAGCATTGAGACTGAGACACAGAGAGGGGTTACCTGAGCACACCACACCAGCATCTTCTCCATGCTTGCAGTTATGGGACCCCCAAGACTGGGCCCTACACTCAGAGAGGGCAGCTTCATTCATTCCCTGAGCAATTCACATCATCCAGCCAGATGGGGTCAGGCCCTTGCCCAAAATGAGCTGAACTCAGGGCTGACAGTGCTGCCCCGCAGCCCAGCTGCCTGCACACAACACTGGCTTCAGCTGTATCCCATGATCATCACACACAGTTCCCCACTGCTGCTCATGGAACACCTCAACTCTGCCAGCACAATGATTTGGACCATTCACGAGCCGGATGGGAGCTGGTTCTGCAACACCTGGACCAAAACACAATTGCAAAGTGTTTGAGGAGCTTTGCATGCTTCAGAGCTCTGTGGAGAGGGCAAAAACACCTCACAGGGGTCTTGTGCCAAAAAAAGTTGTGGTCATGGATGTTGATCACCAGATCATGTGAGCTTTGTTACCTCGATGAGCCAATTTGTACCTTCAGCAGATTACTACCGGAGAGAGCTTCAAGGAGCTGAACTCAGGGCCTGAACTCTTGGCTCAGGGCCCCAGGGTAAGCTGCAGATGCTGCCAGGGCCATCACTGGCTACACAACGCTCCCATTTTCTGCAACGGTCAAGGATGGCCAGGGCACCCTGTCCCCCTTGGTTTTCTTCCCCAAATCACCTTCCCAGGAATATTCCCCAGCCACTGTGGCACAGGTCTCTCTGTCATGATGCTGTGCCACTGTGATTTAGAGTGGAGAGTGCCCTTTACCTCATTACTCAACACAACCCTCCCGCACATCACCCCACAGCACCTGGGCCTGCCTTCTCCCCGCTTGGCCCATATGCAGATGGGATTTTAGCTACCTAAATACACATGCCTGTTTTGGGAGCCAGTTTATTCTGCCTGGTTTCCAGCTGCTGCTCCAGAGGAGCACCGGGTCTTTCCTCATATTCCTCAGCACTGTGCAGGTGTCTTGGATCCCCTATGGAATCTAAAATACCACTGGATTCACTCCTCCTGTATCTCATTTAAAAGCAACATCATGGTAAAACGTGTGCCCCAGGGCCACAGACAACTCTTCCTGAAACATAGCCCCCATTGCATCCCACATTACATTGCATAACAGTACCTGAGCACTCCACACCAGCATCTTCTCCATGGTTACAGTTGTGGTCTCCCCAAGACCGTGCCCAGCAATCAGTGAGGATGGTTTCAGCCCCTGCACAGTTCACATCATCCAGCCAAATGTGGCCAGTTCCTCGTCCAAACTGAGCAGAGCCAGGGGCTGAAACCACTGTGCCACAGCCCAGCTGCCTGCACACCACTTGAGCATCTGTCAGTTCCCAGCTGTCATCACAGACGGTCCCCCACTGCTGCTCATGAAACACCTCAACTGTCCTGGAGCAGAAATTCAAACCACTCACCAGTCGAATCGGGGCTGGTTCTGGAACACCTGAACCAAAAAGGTAAGACCAGGTAAGTTTTATTCTGGCAAACGTGTTCCTGCTAGCCACGTCAGCAAAAGCAGCGTGTATCCATTGGCTTAGTACAACCTACATGGACAAGCATGGAGAAAGAAAGTTCAAGGAGGTTGTTTTCCCAAGAGTCAAGGAAAGGTGCTGTCCAAACCCAAGGACTTCTTTCCCTCTCTGTCTTTGACTAGAAAGATACCTGTGCCCAGACAGCAAACATGGGTAACTTTACTGACCAAGGGAAAGGACTTTAGCAGGAGAGAACTCTTCAGGAGAACAGTGAGAAAGCTGGGTATGATTCATGTTGGCAGGACTTGGAGCCCTTAAGCATAAACTTCCAGGGACCAATTGGCTTTCCTGAGCTTTGGTACCTGGTGCCATCTGAGATGCCCAGGGAATCCCAAACAACCCAATGGAGTTAGCAGACTTGATGCAGGACTCGAGGGAGATTGGTGCCCTTCTGGATCTGCAATTAGAGACTGGGTAAGATATAGTGGGACATCTCAGATGACACTAGACACCTATGTTTAGGCAACTGAACCCACTTTTACAATTCTGCTGAGGACCCTTGGTACCCTTTATAGTCAATGGAAGGAAATGAGCACTGTTGGGTTGCAACTTCTTTAATGTGCTTTGGGCATCTGCACCAGGATGGGCCAAATCCAGCCATTGACTGCACTGACTCAGTCCTCACTGGCTGCAAAGGGACAGCAGGATGTTTAATTCAGAGACAGGCATGTGTGTTTAGTCAGTGAATCCACAGGGTGTTTTCAAGATATGGACAAGTAACCAGAGGAAAGCAGTTTATCTCCTGCAAGGGCAAGCCAAAGGTTCTGCTGGGAGGCTGTGATGGTGTCCTGGTTTTGGCTGGGATAGAGTTAATTTTCTTCCTAGTAGCAGGCACAGTGCTGTGGTTTGGATTTAGGAGGAGAAGAATATTGATCACACACTGATGGTTTAGTTGTTGCTCAGCACTGCTTATGCCAGTCAAGGACTTCTCAGCTTCCCATGCTCTGCCAGGCACACAAGAAACTGGGAGGGGGCACAGCCAGAAGAGTTGATCCAAACTGACCCAAGGGCCATTCTATACCATGTGACGTCATGGGCAATATAGAAACTGGGGGGGGTTGGCCGGGGAGCAGCGATCGC